CTGTCGCACTTCTCGTTGCGTCACACCTCAACCCGCCTCAAAGCCAACGCTGATTGGACGTTCATTTGGTGAACGGCTCCAAATTTTCTTCGACGGAGAGTCTCCAGACTGATTAGCGAGTGAAATCTTGAAAGCTCGCGAGATCAGGATGGTCTCACGAGGCTACTTTCAATTGTCTTGCTAATGAAATGTGCCATATCAACCTTACATAGTCTTTTTTTCCCATTACCAATTTCCTTCAAATGTCACTTTAACAATGAAAACATTAATAGTCAAATTTACCTGCCAACGTATCTTAAATTCCACATCATTTGCACTATTTAATCAGGGTTTATCAGAATATAATGTAAGAACTTATTTTATCTGCGTTAGATCTTAAAGAAACTAAGTGATGATAAACAAAAAAAAGAAAAACAAGTGATAAAACACAATAAAAACTCTCCAGCATAATGCTGCCACCGCCATGCTTGATAATTTGCACAATTTTCTTGTTGGAAATCATTTTGACATCTTCACTCTTCTTATAACTCCAACTTGGTCTCATCTGTATTTTATGGAATTTCAGCCCAACATTGAGGTCCTGACTTTAGAGCAAGGGCTTTACTTCCCTTTTTCCTGTTAATGATCAACTCACCTTTGTTGACTCCTTAGAAGTTCATGAATATTTCAGGAAATTTGCTTTTATTTGAGTGAGACAGGAAGCTCCAAGTGGCAACGGTCTTAAAAACTCATAAAAAGCTGGTTTTGAGAAGATAAGGCAAACAAATACTAGGGTTCTGAAATTGCCCTGACCTTTTCTGATTAAAATAAGCTCTTCCAATTCTCATGAGAGGAACTAATATCCTGTCTGAATGCAGCCAAGGACTACTTTCCTCTCACCTGTCCAGGTTCAGAAGACCCTGACCAGTTTCAAAGGGGAACCGGATGGAGAGATATTTTTTTCCAATTAATATTAGGACAACATTAACACAGACTAAGAGAGATGAGAGTTTAACATTTCTAAAAAAAATGTAACCCTTACTGCAGCTGTTGACTTTACTGTAACTTTCCAGAACAAATTCCAGTTTTATTTCTTTGTGTCTCTGGAATGAGGCAGGAATGATGCTTTTGTATCATGCCGCTCCATCAAACTTCCTGCTCTTCCAGCATTTCCTCATACTTAAAATATGTTGCATGAACCTTTACTAAAACACTATTTTCTTCCTTATTTTTTTTGGGTAAAAAGTAAAACAGCTTTGTATTCAAGCTGCAGGGAAGATGCAAACACGTCAGGTGAACCCTCTCCTCCAGGTGAGCAGTGAAGTGGACAGACTGGTTCTCAGGCTAAACAAAGATGATTTCCTGATGCTGCTGCTAAAGGTAGCAGAAGGGCAGCTAGCATTTCCCAGAAGGTGCAGGATGTGTGACTGCTCTGCTTCCCGACAAACCTAACTTACCTGAATAACACGTTACTCTGATATGTAGCTTTGATGAGAAAGGATCTATTTTTAAGGGAGGCTTTATAACTTACTAATAAGGACAATCAGAGATGAAAAGGGTTGGAAATAATTAAATTATGCACGCTCATTTGTTTACTGTCAGTTTATATCTCTGATACTAAGATGACACCATTATAACCCATAATGATGCTTTAAGTAGAATGGGAAAAGTGTTTTCCTGATCCTTCAGTTCTGCTTCTTTACAAAGATGGCATCTCTGTTGAACAAATGCTTCAAACAAAGAGAAAATAAAACAGAAACATTCAGTTTATTCCAATATTTATAGTGTTAATTAGAAATGAAGATGACATGAAATGCATGGTTTGCAGAAATACATTGAAAAACTGGGTAAATGATTCCATCTGCTGGTGAAACGATGCAACTACAGAGAGATTCTAATTTGTTCGACAAATAAAAAGGATTCCTCAGCAAACAAGATGCACACAGTTAAATTAAAATGGAAATACAAACATTTAAGATATTTTTGTGATCTTTAGGCGTAGAATGAGGATGAAATTCATTTTCCTCACTAAAAGTTAGACAGGAAGGCAACAATTGGATAATTACTAGTTAACAAGCTGTTTTCACATTTGATTTAATTGCAAAAATACTTTTGAAATTATTTAACACTTATGACAAAATATTTATTCTATTTCACAGCTGAATCCACACATTTTTCTCAGGTTAAAACCACAAACCTTGTAATTTTTATTGGAGTTGTATGCAATAAATCTCAAAGGTGTTTTAAATTGAACTTCCGGCTGAGAGATGCCTTCTAGGTTTCATCATACTTTTCATTTTAGCATCAGAAAGATACTAGAAGTCCTGATAAGCCACCACCATGTTCCACTGTGAGATGCTATGTTTTTGGGTTCATTGCAGTGTTGGTTTTCTGCCTCATGTTGCTTTGCAACATGGCGAAATCTTTCCATCTGGCTTCATCTAACCAGAGCACCTTCTTCCACATTTCTGCTCCCTCTTCGAAAGGATTTGTTGCGAAACGAGAAAGTT